TGAGCGCTGTCCCGGGCTGCCACAGCCAGCACACACCTCCTGAGCGCAGAGCTCTTCTCCTGCCGGTGTCCAGGGGCCCCTCCCGACCTCTCTGCAGCAGCTCGAGGAGACATGAGAGGGCTCCAGCAGTTCAGGAACAACGAGGGAACAGCAGTGGACTACAAAGACATTTTCCATCTTTGGGGGGCTTCTTTGTGGGTTTGGGTTGTTTTGGGGTTTTTTTGCAAGAGATCAGTCAGGTTTGCCTTATGGTGCCTGCTTCCATGGCAGAAAGCTCAGACTAGGAAATGTCTGTCTTCCAGGTTTTTAATCAGTCTCCTTGTGATCCCAGGTGTCCAGGACAGATGTTTTTGCAACCTTCATGAAGGACAGAATTGCATGTGTTGAGGGAGGGCTGAGACTTCTCTTCAGCTCAGTTTTTGGGGATGAACAAGACACTGTTTCTGTACTAAGATAAATGGTTTTGTTCAAAGATAGCAGCAGTTTCATCTTTTCTCAGGAAACAAAGAACTCCCTGGGGTCTGTGACCCTCAGGTTGCAGCTCTGCCTCAGAGGGAGACTGCGGGATGAATCACAGGAGGAAAGCTGATTGACTGGACACGAGACAGAAAAAGACTCTCTCTCTGCGTTAGTGATGGTGCAGCTTTTGGGTTGGTGATGCAAAAGCCCAGCAGAGGAGCAGGACACTGAACACCTCATTAAAGCGGCCAAAATGAAGTGTCAGCTTTGTCACTGTAGATGTTCCCACAGTCTTAATATAACAGCTAGTTGTAGACAGACTATCCAGTCATAACTACTCCAGGAAGGTGTCACCTACCCTGAATTTTATTTGTATTTATATCTGCTGTATGTATTTTTTGCTGGAGTTTCAAAAGATTTACACTTCTGTCTGCACAAAGCACACTGACTTCCCTTTGAATTGGCAAAGCACAAGAGAAAAAAAAAAGGTCAGGAAAGAATGTCTCATTCTCTTCTTCAAGTTTTGTCATGATACCATTTAAATTAACCTTTGTGAGTCTTTACATTTGTATATGTGTATATCCATTTGTTTATTTGCAAAAATATGAGACAGAAGTGTCTTTGTCCTTCCGTCAACTACAAAGGGAGCTTAGATGATGAGATCATCTGTCAACATCTATGCCATAAATGTTTAAATATGGACAGAGGAGAGTGTCATTGATTATCTGGTTCCTTTATTCTGCAGATTGCAGGCTGGATGAATGGTGGTTTCCCAGGAGCAGCAGGAACCCAGCAATGAACTGTCAGTCCCACCCAGAGCTGGAAAACTCTCCTCATGCTTAGCAGTAAGTGGCAGGGAAGACAGGGGTTGGTTTGGTTGGATGCAGAATCCTTCCCTTCCTATCCCAAACTGCAAATTCTTTGTGTGCTTTGAGTTCCCCAAATTTTTAACTCTGTTATATAAATGGCAGCTAGCTGGGGGGGGTGTGGGGGAAGAAGGAGGTCCAAAAGAGAGCCCTAAAGCTCCCAGAGGTCAGTGTGAGGATATCAGTGACTGCAGAGGGCTCTGGAGCAGGCCCTGTGCCTTTAATTCTGGAAGAACATAAATGTGAAATGTTTTACAAAAAAAAAATAGCTTCCTATGCCAATGTAAGAGAACTTCCAACATGTGCCTGCTCAGGAAGTTCAGCTCTTTATGGGACCAAATGAACAATTTCTATCCCTGACTGAGATAAAATTGAGCAGAAACTCCTCACGGAAGACCTTCCAACTACTTATTAAAAACATACAGGACTGATATAATATTATTCAGCTCCAATTCATTGTTTCCCCAGACTTCCACACTTTTTTGTAGTGCCAGTGCATTTTCCAGGACTGGGCTTTTCCTTGCTCTTTTCTTACAGTGGCCTGTTTTGGAGGTCTGTTTCCCTCCTGCTGCAGCACTACATGGCTGCCCTTGGGAATATCAGATCTCCTAAATTCCATTTTAAACTCCACTGGAGAATGACACCAGCCTTCGTGGAGTTACATTCCTTGGAAACATCAAGAGTGATGTCCTGGACTAATCCACAGAGGAAACTGAAGCTGGATGGCAGGTTCATATCTCGCTCATATGAAGTCAGTATGCACTGGCTACAGGGGATTTCTCAGGATTAGACTTGTGAGGTCTTGGAGTCTTATGGTGGCATCATCAACCTACAGACCATGTTGTGTAAATCAGGGCATTCAGACTGCATCTGTGAAGGCATCGACTTAAACCTCATTGTTCATTCTCCATTTGCCCACCTGAAACAAAGTGTCTGAGAACAAAGAACTTGGAAATTTAATCTGTAGAGACATTTTAGGTACAGAACCCCTAACTACAAAACAATCCAGTTTTCCCTTTATAAAATAAACTTTCACATGCCCTCCACCATCTTGAACTCCATCCATATAACAGTTTTTACCACATCAGAAAATACTTTTTAAACACTGATAACAAAGAGCAGTTTCATCTAGTACAGTTGCTCTGGTCACCACAAAAAGAGCAATTTTTCTGTTAGTACTCCTACATTCCCTCCTCCACCCCAAAACCCACAGTGTGTTTAAATGTGGTGTAGCCTATAAAGCACAGACACAGAACAAGCAAGGGCAAAGAAAAGAGGGAGTGAGGAACTCTTTGAGGAGAGGGAAATCATCACATTCTTGGCTGTGCAGCTTAGAGATGCAGCACCAGGTTCTGCTGCAGGAACCCAAGGCTCCCAGGAGACCTGCAGAGATTGATGATGATTGCTGGCAGTTTTTGTGTTCCTGAGAGGGACACAGCACAGGAACTGTGCATTGCCCCAAAGAAGTGCCAATGGACCACCCCAGCCCCCAAAGTACTGCAGAGCATCTTCGTCTGCTGCTGCCTTTGTCAACACCCCCAGCACGGCCCAACGGGTGATACAGTTCCACCTGCTCAGAACAAACAGCCTTTTGCTCTGCAAGAGGTCACACACTCACTGGCAGAGGCTTGCAATGAATCGTGGGTAATTAGCTGAATGATAATTGCTACGTATAAAGGATTCTTAAAAATAAAATCCACATTTACAAAAGTAAATGTTATAGGAGGTGCTTAAAGTTAAGCATCCTTTAAGAAGGAAATAATCATGGCTTCAGTTTTCCTGCCTATAAAATGGGGATTATATTACATGGCCATTTTCTAAAGTACTACAGGATGTTAAGATGGGAGAATCTACATCAGGGTGTGATAGTGCTATTTTCAATCTCTATCCACACAATATTAAGTGCAATTCTTCCAAAACCGTGCCACATCTATGCTGCTGCATAGTCAGATCTGATTTTAAAAGAGTGAGTGATCAAGCACACGTTACAGCTGCACCACTGGGTCAGTAAGTGAGAAGTTAAAATAAGAAGTTCATTCAATAAAATATTGATTCTGGAAACAGATTACAGGAAATCATACCATACCACTAACTTAATTTATGAGTATTTATATTGCAGGAATTATACCAATATATCAAACACGATGCCTTCAACCTTAGTTCAAAAGAGAATTTTATCTCTAAGCTTTAACAACAGGGCTGAAAATAATTCAGATTATATGGGCAGCATTTTAGCAGCCCATTTTCATCTTCTTTAAAAGCAACACTCTAATGCATGATGGTTAAGGATCAAGTTGGGATTATGAGGAGAATGTTAAACATATACCAAGTAATACATCTGTTTTGAATAAGAGTTGTTACATAGAGTTCCAGTTCATTTTTTTTTTTTGAGTTCTTTGCTGTACGTGTTGTAGCTGCTAAGTGAAACCACGCATCAGATAAATACATCACTTCAGCAACAGATTGCTGATCAATTGTCTGACATGCTCTGAAATACTTGGGTTAAAAATACTTGGGGGCAAAGGCTTTTCTAGCTTGGAAAAAATCTGTTTCCCGTTGTGCTGTGGTTGGTTCCTGCCTCTCCGAGCTCACAGGAGCACTGCCATTGTCCCCAGGCTGGTGCTGGGCTGTGCCCTCGGTGGGAATGCAGGGGCTGTGCCCTGCCCCTTCCCAAGCACTGCTCTCAGGACAGGTGTGCCTGCTGCCCTGCCAGGCTCTGCCCAAAAAAACACAACCACTGACATGTTCTGTTCCATTGCTGTGTCTTAAGACTTGGATATTGTTCTGAAGCACCTGATTTTTCAGAAAATTAGTTTAGAAGTTCTGATACTTGGATTATTACATTTTTTTGTCTTTGGTTGGAATAGAAAACTGCAAACTTTCTGTAGCCTACAGTTTGGTCAAAATTACTGTGCTTGACTCACCTATACTTTCATTCCAGTCATGCCAGAACTTCACACGTATAAGATATGGATTTCAAATAGCTACATTATCAAATCTCTTTGATAACAGTGTCAATAACTAGCATGACTAGTTCCTGATATTTGACCAAAAATAATTCTAATACTTTCATTGAAACAACCATTTATCTCAGGAACCAGAGATTCTTTTAAGTATTGACTAATTTAAACTCTACTTGATGCCCTCTACTTCTCATACTGCAGAAAACAGTGAACAATCACCTCTCCAGCAGCTTCACTCCACTAACTCCTGTTGTTTTTGTTGTCCAGTGACATTTTTTCCATGCTGAACTGCTTTGGACAACTGATTTTGGTCAAAGAGCATCACAGTCATGCTTCTCTGCCACTGCTGCAACCCATCCAAGCTTTCTCATGTTCCTCTCAGGAAGACAGGGTAATTAAACAAGTCCCCATAGACTGAAGGGTCCTGGAGCTGCTGGCTCCCAGGAACTCAACCACTCCTACATCAACAGGTACCAGAGACAGAAAGCCTAATAAAACCCCCATCACCACCTGTCACTCAGACTGATCCTGGGCTGACCTTTGAATATTTCCTCGCTGCTGTAATTCTCTGTGGTTTACTGATAACCTAAGGCAGATGCATGTGACGACAGAAGAAATACTTTGAACCTGATATACTGCTGGGTTATGGGTTTGTGCAGTCCTTTTGCTGGGACTGTGAAGTAGGCAGAGAGAGTTCTTACTGTAGGATCTGCTGAGAACCAGAGGCATTTACTGTCCCACTAGGGTCTGGCTGAAGACCCAGCTCCTCTCTGCTATCCAGAGCAGTCCTCCTGGGACAGACCCTTCAGCATTTAGCTGCCAGTGCAAGGGCAATAAATGCTGGGTGTTTCTAAGCAAAGCAAACCTAGTCCCATCAGCACATGTTCCTGCAGCCAGTGGAAACTGGCACACAGAGGAAATGTGGCTTCCAGGGGGGAAAAAAACGGATTTATGGAGTGGGAAGTTTTTGAAGGGGCTCCTGCAGTCAAAAGGAACACCTCCTATCAGACCTGCCAATGATTTGCTGTGTTCTCAGACACTTTCTCAGTGTCTTTGTCTCCCCTTTGTTCTCACACCAGGCCCATCTCAACTGCTGCCCTGAGGAGCCTCTGTCTGCAGTCCCAGTCCCTGTGAGTGTCACACAGCTCTGCAGCAGGGAAGGGCACTGCCAGAGGGGATTTTGTGCCACTGAAGTTGCACCAGGCTCTGAACCCAACAGATTAATCTGGCAGCAGCCTTTTCCTGGCAGCACAGCTGTGTCCACGCCAGGAACTGTGCTGGCTCAGCTCCAGTGGGCAGGTGGGATTTATGTTTTTTTCAGACCCAGGCTGACATCAGTGTATGAGCAAAAGTTTCTAATGTGGGCCTAAAAGAAACATCTGCGACGTCTGTGACCTAAAAGGCTCCGTTACCTCTGCGTGTAGCGACAGGATGTCTCATCCCTCAACTCCAGCTACAAAACCCCTTAATTTGTGTCCTCACAAAGGAGGTGGGGAGACTGGCAGTCCTGATGGATCCCAGGAACACCAGAAATGCACGATGTCCTTTCCTGTGACAGCAGTGCTCGATTGCTGCACTAACAAGGCTGGTGTGTGAGGGACACGGGCTGGTGATGCACACAGAGCAGAACCCACCCCAGCTTTGGAAGGCACAGAAAGAGCACCTGTAGGGACATGGCCATGCCAAGCCTTTTGTTAAAATGGGGTTTAGTTGACTTGTTTAATTACTGTACTCACAGATGTCCTACTTTCTATTCTAGTACAAGGACAGAAAAGTTACACCAAATTAATGTGCATTTAGAAATGAATGAACACATTGAACGGTAATGTCAGATTAGCTGTTTTCTTTCTGATATTGTGTATCTTTTTGCTCTAGGACCTCATTAGCCTTGCTAGACAAAAAACACCCTTCTTGTATGAAGCCCCTCAGAACAATAATGTGAGCTGGAGATCTTATACAGTTTGAGAAACAGCTTTGAGCAGGAAACAAAGTGATGTGAAAGGGCTTTTCTTCATGTGCCGTGTGTTAGAAATGACAGTTTATTTTCCTTATGGCTCCGTGTGGGTTACTTCAGTATTTCCTTTTGGAAAGCCACAGTACATCCAGCATACCTCACTCCAGAGAGCCAGATAAAAACATCAGTCAACGAAAAAGGCAAACAGAATAAGCAATTACTAAGTGCCATCCCTATATACATGCCAGGCTCACGCCACTTTACCCACCTCTGTATGAACTGCTGTCACCAAGGGCATCCTCCACCACCCTTGAATACTCTTTAGCCTTTCACAGGTATTTTTTCTGAATCACTTGAATTTAAAAACAAAGCAGTCTTTACTGAGAGAAATTCTGTACCTCATGTGACAGACACCTTGAACCAGGACCACTCAGACATCCTTAGACTTGTGTCAAATAAAAAAAACCCACCAGTGCCAATGCAATATTAACACGGGTCACGTTATAAATGTGGAGAATGAAAAAGATCTTGAAACATGGAGTGAAACCTTTTGTATTCAGGCAGTATAATAGATGGCTTTGATTACTAAATATGTGCACTAACCTAAGGATTGTTATTTTAAGGGAAATATAATAAAATGCACGGGACATGTAGAGCATAAAGTGACATGCCTGTAAAAAGCCTATCTGTTGCATTTCCTGACTTAAAAAAAACCCCAACACTTGAAAACTTGATTCCTTCCTAAAATCTGCAATATGGTACATTAATAATAACTCAGTGTTATGTAAAGCTAAAATCTGCTGCCAAATGTGAAGGGTGCCAAGTTAAAACTGACTTGCAGATAACCATTATCACAGTGGAGAGTTCTTCCTGGATAAGAACTTAGACACTGAAAATGAGTTTTCACAAATCAAAGCAGTCCTTAACTCGTGTAAAATCTGAACATTTTTTTTCAGTGACAAAAATCCTTTGGCCTTATTAATCCAGTGGATGAAGAGCGTTCAAGAGCATGACCCCCAGGGCAAACATTAAGGCATAAGTTGGGATATCTATTTTGAAGTTTCTGTTCCAAATTCACTGAAGAGGAGATTTTGTCTTTTAGTTCTCCCTCGCTGGGATGCAAGCAAAAGGCGAGGGGAAGGGAGGAATAATGAAAATTACCATCTGCTCCTCTTTATCCAGATATATCACTCTTTCTGTTTACTTTCATAAAAAGCAGCCAGGAATATTTTGCATAAGGCAGTTATGTTAATATGCCATTATTAAAATGTTTGAGTTTGGTTCTGCCTGAGCCAATGTTCAAAACCTCCTCCTGGCTACTTAAACCCAAACATCATTTGTGCACCTGGTTTTTTAAATCAGTACCTTTAGTAATGCATTTTGCAGGTCTCTCTTCCTTTATAAAAACCTGCTTTGCAGAACCTTGCCATATCCAGAGAAACAGGAAGGGATCAACTACAGGCAGGATGTAAAAACCTCACTGCAGAGACAGGAAGCAGAAACAATATTACCAATCAATAACTAAGAGAATTAACACAGAGCTCAGCTTTTACCAGAAAGCACGAGGCTGCAGGTGCTGTAGCCAACATATTCATTGCATGGAAAAGCAGATTTCTATCAGTTGAATGCTTCACTTCCACATGTAATATCAAAAAAATACAGTGAGCATCTGAACTGCCTGGACCAGGTAATGGATCAGACCCTGATCACCTCCCTGTGCTGAGATCAGCCTCCCTTGCTGCACTCAGCATTAATCCCAGCTCGTCCAGACCAGAGGGAGCTGAAACCCACCTTGGATACCACTCCCATTTCAAATATAAACCCAAGAAAATGATATTGATATATTTCAGAGGCTTCTATAACACTCCAAGTCCATTTAACTGATCAAAGAAGGTTAAAGAAATCACAGCAAATAACAAAAAAAGGACCTAGCTGGGAACCTGTTTTTCCAGGGTTGTGGATACCTTATTCATTTCATTATTTTCTTTTCTTTCACAAGTTTCCTGTTTCAGACATTTTAAGAAAAAGCTGTATTTGAGATGTCAAAAAAAACCCCAACTCTTCTCAAGAACCGGCAATAGTCTCTCTAGGGGTTATTTTAGGCAATTCTAATTTTACAGTTTCCTCTTTAGGTTGGATAAGGATCTTGCATAGTGTCAGGGATTTGGTATGTGGACACGATCTTGGCCCCTGGACATGAAGTTGTCATAGCTACTCTGGATGCTTTCTAAACATGGCCAAATCCTCCACAGGATCCTTCCCAGGTTTCAGGATCTGCAGGGGGCTTCTCTTTAAAAAACAAGAGTTTGCAAGACTGCGTAAAACAGTTTTTCAGGTAGAGTTTGTCGTTGTTCTTTTGCAAATACACATTTTTTTTTAAATTATAGAATAGGGAAAGGATGAGAAAGGGAGGCTACAGACCAACTAACAGACAGCTCATCATCTGAAAACAGAAGAAAATGGCCCAATTCTTTCATACAAACTATACAATACATTCTGGTTTGATCACAGCACAGTAAAACTGGAATAAATTCATTAACACCAGGGAAGCTGAGCTTGGATTATACCAGAACAGCTGAGAGCAAAGCCAGGCCTTTGGTTTTTACGTTTTGTTCAGCTGTCCTATAAGTTGAGAAGAATCAAAGATCAGCAGCTCATTGTCTCTGGAAACACACGGAAATGAAGTCATTGTCTTTTGGGCCTAAAGGTAGAAGAATGGTTTAATTTCCTTTAGCTTCAAAGCAATAATCCTGGACTGAGGTATGGTCATTCTTCAGAATATGGGATAATAAACCCCATTTTCCAAACTGTATTTTACTCTGCATATTCAGGTTAGTCTCTATTCTTTGCCATTGTCAATGCAAGAGGCAAGAGAATAAATTGTGGACAGGGATTGTTGATTCCAAAGGTGACTACAGCATATATTTATAGCAGCAAAGTTAACAGGGGAAATTAGTAAATGGAAAGTGGTTTAGAATATGCTCTTCAACAAGAACTATTGCCATAAAATACTGCTATTGAAATAATAAAAAAAAAACTAATAGAAAACCAACCCATCTTAGTAGGTTAGGTCTGCTTTGAGTAGGAGGTTGGACCAGATGACCTTCAAAGTCCCTTCCAGTCTAAATCATTCCATGATTCTAAACAAACCTGATTTTTCTTGTAAACGTATTTGTTCAAGAGACTAAAAGAGATTTAAAAATCAAGATTGATTGGATAGGTGCTTACTATAATAGCAAAAATTACAAATAGTCACTTACAAGTAGCAAAAATATTACTTCCTCGGAAATACAACAAATAATGGCCTCTCATTTGATCACTCACGTGAAGTCTGGTCAGAATAAAATGCAATGTAGAACACTTTTAGCAGCTTCCTGAAGCTTCCCCACTGCTGGAACACAACCTTCTGGTGATGTGTATCCCTGCTTCTCTCTCAACTGCAGTCCTCTTGTTGGATTCCAAAAGACCTAGGAAAGGAAGCAATGTTGTTGAATACAAAATTTTATGAACATCATAATGGAAAATGTTTCAACGTATAACTTACAGGAAATTTAGCCTTAATATGGGATATGCATCACTCACAAACAGGGCACTTAATTTTTATTGCCTTGTTGGTTAAGTTAATTATGTCATAACTGCTAGCAACTTTTCATCAAAGCGGGAGGCTGTTCTACCATAGTTCTTCTTACATTTTAGTCCTCTGGAGTATTTGTAAGCCTTGGCCACTGCACAAGGTGCTATAAAGACACCAGCTATAAAGACAGTTCCTGCCCAGAAAAGCTATCGTAGGACACTGCCACTGGACACAACACACCCAGAAACAGAAAGAAAAGAGAGACTTGTAGTGGCATTTGGCACAAGCTCAGGTAGATTGTCACTTGGACAATACCCCCCTGTTGGGAGATCACTGGTGAGACCTGTATGACTACATGAATGCTGCTCAGTTGTGCTTACCCAGCCAGGCTAACTCCAGGGAAAACAAATAACTAATCCACGGAAACTGTGTTGCCCTCAATATATTCCTGGGTGGGAAGATAGGATGCTGGGCAGGACATCACAGCAACTCAGCACAGAGAGATTCAAATTTGAACCCTGGAGCCCCTGTACATCTGGAGAAGGCAACCTCCCTGACCTTCCCAGAGCATGGTATTTTGGGGGCTTTTTCTGCTGCTGTTCTCTCACTTAATCCTTTTTAAAGTCACTGCCAAGGAGGGAAGAAGATCCAAAGATGAGAACTTAAGAGCTCTCCACGGTCCCACGGGTGGGGACTTGGCTTAGCTGGAGAAGAAGATTGTTTCCTCCTTCAGTGTCCCTCTTCCCCCTTCCTACTTGTGCCTCGCCACATCACCCCTTCAGACTCTTGGAATATTTTGTCTCATATTATATTATATTATAACTGTAACCAAACTCTACACTACACTCCAGAAAGGCTCAGCTAGAAGACCTGATGAGGAAACGCTGCTGAGAAACATCTGGGCTTTGTTTCATGCAACTGAAGAGTTAAAGTTATTGTCCTAAATAGGCTAATGTATAAAAGCTGCAAACACCCAACTGCAGTGTCAGGCTCCCAAACTGTACAAATGTATTTGTCTCTCATATTAGTAAAAGTTATTTGAACAGAAATAGCACATTGTAACAGCCTAACAAGAAGCAGTCTTTCTGATGACGTTTGAAGCTTCTTTGCTGCACTGTATGGAAATATTTAAGACTTAAAAGATTTATATTACAAAATAGCATTTTAAATGGCTCAATCCTGTTCCCAGTAAAGTGAAAGAGGGTTTTACCGTCAGCTTCAATGAAAATGGCATAAGGGCCAAGATGTCTTTTAACACGATTTTTTTCCCCCTGTGTTTTTCCAAGAGTCAAGAAGTTTCTCCAAAGGCCCTCCTACTCCTCCTCCAAAAAAAAAATCAATCAAGTTATCAGGTGTGAGTCAGTGCCATGGCCAGACATGAAGGTACATTGACACCCCCTGTGCAGGTGGCAGGGTGGGCTCTGAACATCAGAGCTGCCCCAGGCACAGCATGCTGGGCACTGAGATAACCAGGCACTGCCAGGGCTGGGCTGGGAAAGCTGCTGCTGCCCTTTAACACAGTCTCAAAATATCCAGCACACTGTCCTGTTTGCTCTGAGACTAGAATTCTCACCTTACACACACACGTGACAGATAAAACTCGACGTGAACTAGTAAGTGATGAAATCACATCCTGTAGAGGGATTTGTGTTTGGGTAAACTCAGCAGCCTTTGATGCGTTTTCCTTTTTTTTGACTGATAGATGCCAAATTATTTACATAAATGAAGAAACAGTCACAAAAAATTTTAACAGTTTTAAAATTTTAAAATTGCCACTAAAACTGAGTCTCAGTATTTGCATATGCAGATAAACACAAGAAATTCTTTTGTTGAAGTTGAGGGTTTATAATCCCCAGTTACAGGCAAAGTCTTCTATAATTTCCTGCAGTATTTGCTCTTTGGGTTACTTATTCTTGAAGTATTCTTTGAGTTGTAGCAAACCTGGAGCTGTGTCAGGTTGGATCTCAGGGAAAGGTTCTTCCCCCAGAGGGTGGTTGGCACTGCCCAGGCTCCCCAGGGCAGTGGGCATGGCCCCAAGGCTGCCAGAGCTCCAGGAGGGTTTGGACAATGTTTCCAGGGACAGGGGGGGATTATTGGGGTGTCTGTGCAGGGCCAGGAGAGGGACTCTGATGATCCTGTCAGTCCAGAAAGTGAGTATGTAACAACCAAATCAGATACAGCCATTGGGGCACAGAAACATGGCAGGCACAAATCTGATGTCCTCCCAACACACTCCTGTCTGTGGGAAAATCCGTGGATTTCCTCAGGTCTCAGTGTAAAAAAGCTCTGACCCTGTAGCACACATTAATCTACGCCCCACATTAGGGTTTGGCCTTGCACCCTTCAGGCCCAGAGCTGAACAGCAGAGGTGGGACAGGGAGATGCTCTGGGCTGGTTCACTCACCGCTTTTCCCCTGGCGCTGTGCTTCGCTGGGGTCCTGCTTGAAGAGCCCTAAGTGACCCTTTAAGCTTAAACACAGCCAGACAAAGTTTTATCCCTGACAATTATGAGGGAAAACACGGTAATGTCACGCAAACGTGATGCAGTGACTTAATTAGAACCAAGTTAAGAGAGACGGAGAGAAGCTGTAAATCTCCTCAGAGTGCTGGGGGGCTGTGGTGGGAGTGTGAAGCCCTGCAAGTGCTGGGAAAGGGTAACACAAGGGCGGGAAAAACCCTCACAAACCCAAACCGAAACAAACCAACACGCATTTTACAGGCCGGGGGAGAAAAGTTAGAATCTAGCTGTATATTTTAAAAGGAAAAGGTTAGAAAAGCCTTCAGACAGAGCGCCCAAAGAGTTAATTTCCAGCAGCACTGGATGCAGCAAAGCCTGGGAAGGCTCCCGGCGCCCTCTGCTGCGAGGCGGCAGCAGGAGTGGAAATTTCCTCTGGAAACCAGCTTTGTTCCAAAGTTCAGGCAAATAAAATGACTCAAACGTGCCGACAGGACGAGGAGTAACTTCCCTCCTCAAGGAGAATTTTCTCGGGGGGGGGGGCAACTTGGTTTAGGGGTGACAGAGAGGGAAGTGGGGAGGTTGCTTCATATTTTTAGTATCATTATTTTGGCTTGATATTTTCCCCCCTTTATTTCCATTCCGGAGTCTCAATTTGAGTTGGCTGCAATATGAAGAAAGGAGCCCTGAAAACCGGGCAGTGAATGAAAACCTCACGGGATCCTTGGAATAATGGTAGCAGCGTGACAAACATCTTTAAAAAACCCAAAAATAAATTAAAAAACCCGTGCACGCCTGTTTCCCTCCCGTCTGGAGTTACCAAGGGAGGGCTAGCCTAAACGACACGGAGGAGAAACGTCTTCTTCCTACACGACTTTAATACTAGAAGGGAAAAGACGGGAAAAAAATAAAAAGAGGCATTCTTGACTTCAAGCACTTCTCCCTTAAAATTGGAGGATGCTCCCTAACCCCAGTCGACACCCTTATTTCAACTGCCAGGAGAGCGAGGGGTGCTCTCTGCTCGAAGGCTGCGAATTCACTTTTTTCTAACGTCCTCATTAACAGCAATAATAGCTACTTTTGAGGAACAAACGCACAAAGCCCACCTGTAAACGCAAAGGAGCCGACAGAGCAAAACGGGAGAGCAAACCTCGGGGTCACTCCTTCGGGTACCTGCTGAGCAAACATACTCTGGTTTTAACCTCTAAAAAAAAAAGGCGGCGGGGGGGGGGGGGTAAGAAAGGACGTGCTGACTGGGGACACATAAACACACAGAGCTTTCCAGCTCATCTCTACCAGCTGTTTTTCCTTCATTCCTGATATCTTCCAGCAAATGCATCTCCCAACCCCTCCCAGGAGACCTGACTTTTTGGCAGGTACCCCTTCTTGGCCGCGGGGGCCCCGGCTGCGATGGTCCCGGCCGGGACCTGGGTTGATGTTATGCTGGTAAATATGATGTTACCGGGTGTTCAGCCGGCCTTGGGCTGCAGCTCTTCCTCTCGGCACCCTTTCCACGGGGGCAGGAGCCGCTGGGCTTCTCCCTCAGTGGTGGATAAATTTACCCTAGGAACAAAACATAGGTGTGTTTTATTACATTTTTTTTTCTTAATGAGGCTTTAAAAAAAATACATTTTTGTTTGGTTTTGAGTGTTTGCGTGCTTTTTTTCTTAAGAAAAAAAAAAAAAAAAAGAGGCTTTTTATTCAAGTGCTTTCACCTCCCTCCCTGCCAACGCTTGAGAAAGTTTGGGGAAATAAGCGGCAAGTCCCTGACGGCTGCTCTCCTTTTTGCGTACCAACCAAAACGCGTTTCCTGAGAAAAAAAGAAAATACCAAACTAAACACGCTTTATTTACTAAAAGCCAGCAGATTTCTGTTGTCAGGAGGCGGGCGAGGCTCCGCACCTACCCCGGTTTGTAGGCGCACACACGTGCGACCCTTGCACCCCAAGCTCCCCATCGAAGTGCTCTCAAAGGGTAAAATGCATTGGTATTTTTTTAATTAAAGGACCCGCTTTGCAGCCAGCTATAAGTCAAAGCAAACTGTGGCCGAATTCTTGTAGGAAGGGTCATGCGCGGGCGGATTTGTCCTATTAATAGGACACAGGAAGAGCCGGGAGAGCAAACGCCTGCCCTGAACACAGCGTGGGATGTTATTTGAGGTAATAGACTGAGGGCAGGCACGAAATCAGTACTTTGTGGATGTTCAAACGCGTCGTTATTTCGTGTTAAATAACATTTTAGAAGACGCACTCCTGGCTTTTCCACTGGAAGGACGCGGGATTATTTGGAAACGGTGGTAAAAATGAGGAGGAAAAAAAATTGCAGCAGACGACAGCTCCCTGTGGAAAGCTAATCAACATTATACATTGTAAACGTTCTACTATCAGGGGCTACTTTGCTGCAATTAGTTTTAAATAATAAACATATACATCCAGGAAATAATTGAGACCACATCGGAGTTTACCTGGAAATGACTGGAGAGTAACAGAGCCTTCCCGAAACTGTCAGGATCTTCCAGGGAAGCCTGTGGATGCCGAAAAAATGAGAGTCGGCGGCAAAAAAATAGGGCAGGACACTCCCCCGACCCCCAATGTCTCCGTGCTTAGGAGGAAACACACGATACGTTTCTAAAAATCCCACTCACCTGATTATTACTTCTGTAGTTAAAATATTGGCTGACGCTGTAGATGTTAAAGATCTCAGTAACACGCGGTTACAGATGTACAGAACATTTAAAACATGACCTCACCAGTTTAAGAAGTGAGCATTTTAGGTGAAAAGGCTGCGATAGCTATTCATTTGCCCTAACTAGAAATTAATTTTTTTTTTAATGAGACCTATTTACGACAGAGACTTCCAAAACAAGATTTCAATATTTTTGCTTGGACTGATCTTCCTATTCACAGGCAGTAAAAAAATGCAGAGTTCAGGAGGTGTGGGGTTTGTGGTTGGTTTATTTTTATCTTATTTTATTTTATGTTACTTTATTCTATGTTATTTATTCTATTTCATTTTATTCTATTTTATTTCGTGCCTTTACTGTTTGGCTTTTTTTTTTAATTGCCTGCTTTATACCCATGTTTACCACACGAATCCATTAATAAGGATTTCCAGAAAAAAACACAAAAAAAACCAAAAAAAAACACCCCAAACCCCTATGGAGGCAACGAGGAGGGCCCGACTGTACTTTAATGAACTGGAAGACAAAACTTCTATTGACGTGTGTGGGAAGCGAGTGAGGCCCTCCGCGGATCCCTGCGGGGTGTCCCCTGTCAGGATCCAGGTGTATTTTCCTTCCTCAGCCTCGCGGGACGAGCGGACGATGCCGCAGCTCCCCTGCGGCCGCGCCGTCCCGGGGCAGGGCTGCTCCGGCCCCAGCGGCACCCAGCCGCTCCCAACCCTCTCCGGGCTCACGCTGAATTACTAACTATCCCGCAGTATTCTGCTTTCTTTCACCTTTCAAATAAATTATTTTATTGACGCCCAACTACTTGTTTTAACGACCTGTGTTATTTAATCACCAGTGCTCCGTCAAAGTTTTTACTTATTTGAAAGTTCTTTGCGATTTCCAGTCGCTCTCCACAGAATACACGCTATTAGAAGAAAGTGAGAGGGCTCCCAAAGAGAAAAATGCAGAATCAGTCCCGCTTATTGCAAGACGAGCATCCCACTAAGACTCGTAGTTTCATTTTTATACAAAGACAAGTATTTTCCCAACCTGCTAAGCACTCACTATTCCCGTGCATCTCCCTGGAAGGGGCTGGGTGCTGAAGCCTTAGGAGAAAACAGGCCACCTTTCAAGAAAGGCCTAACTACGGATTTACATAGCCTCTCTTTAAGCACCCACATTAACAAGCAATAAGTTCTACGACTTCGTTTCAACCCCAAATTCACTGCACCACGCTCCAAGGATGACATAAACAGATGTGAGCGCTGCAGAAACAGTGTGCGAAAGTTACAGCCAAAACGGGAAAGGAAAAGAAAAAAAAAAAAAGGCTCTTGTAACCGCAGAACGCTTCCAGAGGATGCGCGCACAGCGACAGCCGCGCTCCGGGCAGGACCCTCCGGGAGCACCCGGCCCATGGGATGCTCGGCACCCGGTGCCCCAAACCACGGCGGGGAGCCCAGCCGGCCCCGGCACCCGCCGGGCGGGTTTATCCAGCCCATCGCATGTTCGCTCCGAGGCGGGGCAATAAAAAAGCCCCCCGCGGCCAGGACTCGGCCGTGCCGCGTGTGAGCCGCACGGAGCGCACGGCACAAACAGCGAGCCGGGCAGCGGGGCCGCACCTTCAATCAGCCACGGCAAGCGCTCAGGAGTCCCCTGACCCCGGGACGTTGTGGAGAGCTCAGTGAAGCAAAGAACGAAAATGAAAATGCAGCAACAACAGCAAATATCGCAGCCCGGGACGGGCGGACGGCACGGCACTGCCGGATCCCGGCGGCGCGGCTGCTGCGCGGATTTCCCACCATGGAGGGAACGGAAGGAACCTCTTTTTGTGGGTTATTTTTCCCCTCCCTGCAATGTCTCTTCTCTTTTCTGCACGAAGCAGCAACCCCGTCCCTCTGCACTAGGCCACGCAGGACCTCCCAAAGCAGTTTAATAAAGGGTAAACCCGGAACTGAGATATTCTGATTGACATTGATTTTATATATTAAAAATATATATATTAAAAAATATATATTAAAATATATATTAAAAATATATGTGTATATATATATATTTATATCTATTAAAAACCCCCAAACAACTCTGCATCTTTCAATATATAGGGAACAAATAGGTCCCGAGGGAATGCAAAGTCAGCAACAGGAGCAGCTTTTCTCGCCGGGCTCTGTCTTTTTGTCTGGTTTAGACAGTGCTCGGTAAAACGGAACAACTAGAACGATCCCCGGGTGATACTGAGCACGGTGACAAACCGCAGTGATAAAAATACGACTGTGCCACTCCTACCTCGGGACTGTTTTACGGTGGTGCATCCCCGGTTATCCCTCTGCCCCGGCCGCGGGGCTGACTGCTGGAATTAAATCTTAAATCCACCGTCGCACCCGAGTAAAGTTCTCAGTCCCGGGACTGACCTTGCTCTTCACGAACACTAAAAAAACCCGCAGAGTTCAGGAGGAGTAGCAACAGGCTCTCGTGTAAAAATCGTGACACGAGGGCAATGCACGCTTTTCTGATTATTATTTTTAAATTAGTGATATTTTTAAATAAAAAGACTCTAGGAGAAACAGTCATAAGCTCTCATTTCCAAACCGTGACACGGGGCAACGCATGTATTTTTAAACAACCGGTGGTGCCGTTTTTAAGGGATCGGTATGATTTCAGCAACCTTGTCTTTGAAACACCCGCCGGGGGCCGGTGCTCGGTTCCTCGGAGGGGAGAGGGCAGAGCGGGCGCCGTGGGTCCTGGCGTTTGGGGGCGTTTTTCCTGGGATCGGGGCAGTGCCCGAGGAGAGGGGCCGGCACAGGTCCCTGCCCAGGTGCCCGCACAGGTCCCTGCCCAGGTCCCTGCCCAGGTCCCTGCCCAGGTCCCTGCCCAGGTGCCCGCACAGGTGCCCGCACAGGTCCTCGCACAGGTCCCTGCCCAGGTGCCCGCACAGGTCCCTGCCCAGGTCCTCGCACAGGTCCCTGCCCAGGTCCCTGCCCAGGTGCCCGCACAGGTCCCTGCCCAGGTGCCCGCCCCGCTCGCAGCCATCTCACACAGCGCCGCCGCTGTGCGGGGACGGGACGGGCCGGCCGGGCTCGGTCACAGCCACGAGCGGGACAAGCGTTAACCCGGGCGCTGCCAGAGGGGCAGGCACAGCGCTGCTTCCGGAGAGCCCAAAAGTTAACAAAATATATCGCAATAAATAGCAAGGGAGGAGAGCCGCGACTCCTTCCAGCCTGCGTTTGCAGGCGGCGCCCTCCGAGCGAACGCGCCGGTCCCCGCCGGCGGAGCGGGGCCCAGGGTGAGGACAGGTCTGTGCGCCGGCGGGTCCTGCCCCTCACGGCGCCTCAACAGCCCCGGCCCCGCGGCCCCTCGGCCGGCACAGCCCGCTCGGCCCGCGGGGGCAGCGCGCAGAAAATGGAGGCGGGCGGGAGCGCAGCGCCGAGCGAGCGGCTCCGCGGCCGAGCGGGGGGCGGGCCGGGCTCCGGGCCAAGGCGGGAGCGATCGAGCTCCCCCCGCCCCTCTGCGCTGACCCGGGACGCGGCAGCCACACGGCACCCGGGGCTCTGGGGCACGGCGCGGCCCCCGGCCCTTCCAGAAGGTTCCCCCTCGGCCACCCCCGCGCGGCGGGCGCGCGGCGCCCCCTGCCGGCCCGCGGCCCTCACGGCGCCCTGGTGGTGAAAAAGATTAAATTGTGGGCGGAAAGTGACCTGTGGAACCGCACGGTGTCCACCCCTCCCCGCACACCTGCGCGGCATTCGCGTCAGCATTTTGGGGATTCTTGTTGTTGTGTTGTTGTTTCGTTACGGCCCCAGCGGTTTAAGGCACGAAGTGCTACGTTGCCAAGTGAAATTGAATGTTGAGTTAAACTCACATGACCGGCACCCAACACAGATTTTTTTTTTCCCCCATTCTTTTTCTTTCAAAAGCACGTGCCTGTTTTATCACCGGTTTGTGGTGGTTTGCGGTTCCATTAAACGGCCCCCAACATCAGATTGCCAATACTGAAAATGCAAATCCAGCTCGTCTAATCCAGAGTTTAAAATATTCTTGCGATGTCACAAAGTGATGGCTTATAAAATATTTTCATTTAATTAGGAAGCACTAAGAGGATTTCTGCGAGGAAAAAAAAAATAAAGACGAGAAAGCTCAGTTTGAATTATTTATGTGCTGTGAAATATCATGATTGCTGCTGAAGCTTTTCAAGTACAAAAATGCAGGATTTGCTTGCTTTTCATTTTTAGAACCAAATTCTTTAATTATTCAGGCATGCAAATTCCTGTGAATGGGGATTAATTATGCAGGTAATCAAGGTTTTATTCTAAGCTTACTTTTAAAAAGCAAAGATGGGCTGATACTACGTACTGTATTGCTGACACTGTATTTGTGCACTGAAATATTCCTTTAAGGTATGAGAGTAGCTTGGGATTTCATGGAAGCAAAAGGGGTATGGATTAATTCATACCTTGTGTAAGGCGAGGAACACAATCCATGGCAGAAAGCTCCCTGTCCTGCGAGAGAGCAAGGTGTCCTTCCTCAGGACTGAGTACTCATCATCCCTTTCCTTCTCACAGAATCACAGAATGTCTGGAGTGCAAAGGGACCACAAGGATCGTCCAGTCCAACTCCTGGCCCTGCACAGACACCCCAGCAATCCCCCCTGTCCCTGGGGGCATTGTCCAAACCCTCCTGGAGCTCTGGCAGCCTTGGTGCTGTGCCCACTGCCCTGGGGAGCCTGGTCAGTGCCCAACCACCCTCTGGGGGAAGAACCTTGTCCCAATATCCAGCCTAACCCCCCCGACAGAGCTCCAGCTGTTCTGTCACTGGCCACACAGAGCTGAGATCGGTGCTGCCCCTTCACTGCCCCTCGTAAGGATGCTGAAGATCACAATGAGGTCTCCCTAAACCTTATCCATTGTCCAAGGAGAAGAAAATTAGGTTTAGAGATCTGTGGAATGGGCAGCCCGAGTCCTTTGCGGGCCTCGTGACTCTTTCTTCTTCCTCTTTCCCCAGAATTCTCATTCCACTGTAATTGTTTGAGGCACCCTCTGGACAGCAAGGGGAAGTCCACGCCATTAATAAGGCTATTTTATTTCAGACTGACAAAAATGTGGTACAGCATCTGTCTCATGCACACAAAGCAACTAACAAAACCTTTTAGCTTCATGCTACCAAAGCAGTTTCCTCAAGCATCCTTCCACAGCCACTCCCTAAAGCAGGAAAACTAAACCCCAAACACTAATCCGCACCAACTACTCTGCTGGCAGACAGCCAAAAGGAGAAACAGACCTCTAACTTCCATTTTTTTCATTTTACTTTTTCAACTCACTGACCAGCGGTGGTTAAGCAGCACTTGCAGTGTGGTGGCTCTGACAATGTCAGGAGAAAAGGACAGAGTGGGGGGTGCTGGTAGAGCAGGGAAAAGGTCTGCACGCTTCCTAACCAGTCCCATTCAGTTAGATGAATATCATAATGAAATGAATCATATCGAAAATGCTATAGAAAGCATTTATAGCAAATACAAATTTACCACTTACAAATAGTAAATAGCCTTCTCAAAGAACAGAAATAGTAATGCAAAGCCCTCTGTAGGTACTGTAGCGTTGGTGCAGCTTCTGGAGACGCTCCCTGGCTGGGGAATGGAGGGGGCAGGGGGATCGAACACCTCCTCCTCGCCCTTTGGTCACCTGCAGTTTCTCAAAGCATTGCTTCTTCTGCTCCAGGGGTGGAAACCACTTCCAGCTTTGGGTGGATGGGAGAAGAAAGGCCAAGGAGCTGATCCTCAATTGTATGGAGTGAACAGCAACAGATGGAGAAGTAGGAGACAAATGAATTTTCCCTTTCCTTTCTGGATCTCTCTCTGGATTTAATTATCCAAGGATTTTATAGCTGTCAACTGATGGATGTGCAGTCTACCAGTGCCTGCTGGCTAATCCACTTTGAGGCTGTATTAGATTGGTTGAAAAATGATTGGATTAGAGTAATATTCTGCTGAAACATAAAACAATAGTGGGAGAATGAGGAAGTCTTTGGGAAAAGTATTATTGGTGTCAACAGAGGAAACCAAGTTTGTTTCTAAGAGGCAAATCCGAGTTTCAGTTACATTAGTGCATCACCACAGAAGGAGTTGGGCTTGTTCTTATGAGATCAAAAATTACATAAAAGAAAAAGGATTGAAGACACAAAAAATTAGACAAAAAAATAGGATAGATGGTCTTGTGGTTTGGTAGGAAACCAAAGAGAGGATATTAAATTTGGTTTGTGTGGCCAGTAGCATCTTGTAAACTCTGATGTAGACCATAGAGAGTGGTAAAACAATAACAACTGAAAGAAGAGAAATGGAAAGTTGTAGACCTAACAAAAGAAATGTAAGTGAGCTCCTTGAGGCTTACATAGCTGGAGGTTTGTCTTATACCATGAGAATTCTCACTGTGTGTGAAGTTTTATTTATTGAATCACGCTCAAATTAAGAAAAAAAAAAAAAAAAAAGAAAACAACCCACCACCAAAACCCAGAATGGTGCATAAACCTCAGTGTGTTTTGACACGGTGTATCCATTTTCATGCTCTTGCCTCTGAATAATGGTTTACTGTTAAAGCAGTGATTTGGAGTTGAATCCTGAGTAAAGCAAGAGGTTCTCTGTATATCTTAAGGTCTAAGGAAGCATGTTTATATTTTTTAATATTTCATGCTTAGTGCAAGAAACAAAGTGGGTCTTTTGGCAGGTGTGAAAATTTTTCCTGCACCAACAGTATGCTTTTATCATCTGGAATTGTTTCCTCTTAGATACATCTGCATCCCAGTGGCACAGCCATCGTGGTTGAGTCTGACTCCATCCACTCTTCCATTTTTTCAAAGTAACTGGAAAATAAAAGTATTTTGTCATGCAAGCTGTTTGCGTGAAATAGAAATAGAATGGCAATATAATAGAATATTTTCAGTTGGACTTACAACAGTCATCTGGTTCAACTGCTTACCAGGGCTTACCAAAAGTTAAAGCACATTTGATTTCTGGTGGTTGTATTATTTTACTACATTGCCAGCAGGATGCCTTGACAGACTAACAGTGTCCTACACTTAAAATGACTGAGTGGGAGTTGAAGTGAGTTGGTCTGTCAGCATCTACAAGGAAGACCATTAGAAAAGCCAGTCTGAAGGAGAAGTAACATTCTAATTTCAAAAAGGGAGCTTGGAAATTGTGACAGAAACAGGGTCTTGTTCCAGAAATACTACATTTCCTGATTACACTCTTGAACCCAGCTTTCATTTTTATTTTCAAAATATAGTTTTTTACTTACAATTCTTAGAGATACTGAAGAAATGCAGTATTTCCTGTGTATTTTTAACACAATGATTCATTTTACCACAGAGCTTCTCTTTTGTTTGGTTCCAGAATCTCCACAGAACTGTAGAATGGGTTGGGTTGAAGGGACCTTTGCAGATCACCAACCCGAGCCCCAGAGCAGACTGCAGATGTCATGCCAGAAAGGCTTAAGGAGGAGGCTCCTGCCCTTTTGAGCCTTTACTCAGGAAGCCTGTGCTCTCTTTGGAAAGAATTTTTTAAGGTCTTTTGTGGTGCATGTAAGACATGTTGGGGCTGCATCCCAAAAACCACCAAGAACCTTCGGAGGTGATGACAGAGTAGAGGCAGTGAACACCACTCAAGATTTAAACTCTGGTCTCTACAGACATCTTGAACTGAGTTTAGTCAGACACTGGATTCAAGCAAAGAGTTAAATCTGTAAAGTGTGCACTTTTAAACATCACATAAATTGCTCGTAACTGCACAAAGTACCGCAGGGTGCATGTGAGCACCCCCACATGAAGCTGAACTGCAGCCAGATAAAATATCCTGCAGC